GAAGATACAGTAGGCCAAGGTATTCAGCATTGAATAGTGTTATAATTAAAAGGAACCCTGGCAAACATGTCATGCAGCCATGGAGGAAACTGAAGCCCAAAGAGGTATATTGACTTTCTTAGTGTCACAGAGTGTTGGCAGCAGAGCCTGGGCTCAGGTTCATATCTCCTAATTCATAGTCTGGGACTGCTGAAATGGATAGTTTCATTGAAAAGGCTTAATGAGCATCTAATGGGGAATCCTATCCAAAGGTGAATTTACAGTGAAGCTAATGAAGCTTAAGATTCAGAGTCTTCATGGGCACCAGCTCCTATGAATATTGGGAGTTTGAGGAGTTGTCCATTGTTCCAGGTGGAGAGAGGAAGCCAGGGTAGAATCAGAAAACATTTCTGTATACTCATTTCTGCTAAACCAACTGAAGATATCTCAGAAGAAAAGTATGTCAATCTCTAAGTCATTATTAACTTCTTGTGATCGAATTTCTTGGGCCAGTAAATATGAAATTGTAGGCCTCAATTTATTTATGACTTTGTATTATTTTTCTTAAAGAGGAGGCCAACATTGAGTAACTTTCATTCCCACAAAACCTGGATCTGGTCCTGATACTAGATCTACTGCTCTCAACTCTTCCATCTTAGAACTGAACCAAGCCAGTCCCTCCTTAGGTACCTAGGCCTGCTTCAGGGACCGAGTCAGCAAACGGTATATTAAGATTATTTCTTTGCTCTCAGATATTCCTTATTCAAGAACTGGTTCTTCTAAAAGTGTAACCTACACTATTTGTGAAATGAGGTGGTTGGAGCTAGATGGAGTTAGATAATCTTTTCAGTCCCTTCCAATTTTAAGTTTCTTTTAAAAGAGTAACAAAATGCTAAATTTTTATACCCACCCACCAGTCATGCCATTGTAAAGAATTAGAACTCGAATCACATGGAAACATTTTGGTTCTGTGACTAAAAGGCAAGGAATATATAAAAATCACTTAACCTCCCTGGGATTTTTCCCTAACAGAAAGCCTTGTTATTTATTAATAGTTTTTACTTGAAATTTTAAGATGTTAATTTTGGTTTCAAGCCAGAGTTTTTTAAGCTTTGAATTACTTTTTAGGCAAATTGTGTCTTACCACACCTTAGCACTCAGATAAAAACAAACAAAAGATCCGCTAATAGAGAATTCAGTTGTTATTGTTGATTGATTTTATATATATATACACACACACACACATATATATATATATATATATATATATATATATATATATATATATATATATATATATAAATTTTGAGATGGAGTCTTGCTCTGTCACCAGACTGGAGTGCAGTAGCGCGATCTCGGCTCACTGCAACCTCTGCTTCCCGGGTTCAAGCAATTCTCCTGCCTTAGCTTCCTGATTAGCTGGGATTACAGGCACGTGCCACCATGCCTGGCTAGTTTTTTTGTATTTTTAGTAGAGATGGGGTTTCACCCTGTTGTTCAGGCTGGTCTCAAACTCCTGACCTTGTGATCTGCCTGCCATAGTCTCCTAAAGTGCTGGGATTACAGGCATGAGCCACTGTGCCGAGTCTACAATTTCTTAAGAGAGTAAAATGTTTTTATTCCTTTCTTGCCTAAGATTTTCCCAGAGTAAAAGACAAGATCTGATACTTGCTATATTGACTATCGCTGGTGTTTTATTCTTGTTGCTTTTGTTAGTTGTACTTTATGGTAAATGAAAGGAGAAAATGAAAAAGTTAAAAGCTTCCATTCTTTTCAGTTTTTATTCCGGTTTCTTATTGAGGTTTATGTTCTGACACTTGGATCACCATAATATGCATAGCATTATTTATTAGCTTCCTGCAAGTGTCTTGCGTTAACCTTGAGAAATAATACTTTTTAGAATTGGGTTGACTTCTTCAGACCTGTGAATAAACAGCATTAAAAAAAAACAAGATGGCGAAGTGGAAATGGGAAGACTTGCTTCATTTCTTCCTATTGAAGCTGAATATAAAAAGTCATAGGAACCGAAGGGCCCCTCGTCGTTAACACGCAGTTTGCTGCTTAATGGTGTGTTCACTTTGTGTATGGCTTCTCGCATAGGAAGAGTCTTAACATTTAGATAGTGTGTATAATTCAGGCAGATACTGGTTTGAGAGCGTGGAAATACATCTTTCTTAGATCATCACGTCGGGAAAGCTGGAAGAGAATTTCTCTAGCCCTTACCTCCCTTCCATCTCTTTCTACCAAATCCGTCTTGTATCCCTCTTACTTAAGTACTTGGCACACCTTATCTCTTTTTTTTAAAATAGACTTTCAGAGAGAAGATAATACAATACATATTTTCTTACTGTTGTAGAGCTGTAAACGGAGAATTCTGTGCATTATATGTTTTTGCAGCTGTATATCAAGTGAGCTAATTTGAGTAAGTTCTAGCTTGAAGGAGGTTGGATATCATCTCTCTTCCCTTTTAAGCACTGAAGGGAAATGAGAACAGGGTTTAGAGTGTGTTTCTTTAACTATAAAACAATGGGCTTGTACAGGACATGCTACATGGTTTCCTCCAGTTGCAGCTATGGGGACAACCACAGTCAGTTGCCAGGTTCTGCCCCTATTCCCTAGCCCCAGCTAATTTCACGTCTTGAAGCCTTGGCTTTTGGTCTCTAGGTCTGTTTCATTTTTCTGTTTTACTATCCATATGTAGAAAGATCTTGTCTTGAATATGCATTTTCCTCACATTTTGTATAATTATCTCATCTTGGTACTCTTTTGGGATTACATTGGTGCAGCTATTTGTTTTTTTTTCTTTTCTGTAAAAAAAAATTAATTTAGCATGTCCCTTATTTTCCTGTTTTAATGCCCCCTCAAAAAATCAAAATCATTTGGGGCAGAATAATTTACCAAGAGGAATAAGAATATGCAGTGGTCAACTATGTGCTATGTATGGATATAGGTTTTGAGAATTATCCTCTTTTTATTATTTAAAATAAAAAAGACAAAGAGGCAGCAGAGGTGGAAACAGGACTGAAGTATCCTCAGTCTCTCTAGTTTGGCAATGAGAAATTAACAGATTTTGGAGGGGGTGCTTTTTTTTTTTTTTTCCTTCTGAGTGGATAGAGTCTCTGAATTTGGGAAACAGAAGAACCCTGTCAAAGGTCAAATGTTGCATTTTCAAGATTTGTGTCAAAAAGCAACTTAGGTCTAGAGGATTTGACAAGTTTATATTTGTTTGCTAAATATTAAGACCTGGCTCTATGACTAGTCTGATAGTTTAGCTTTATTATAAGGATTATTGTTATTTTTTGCCTTGTTACTAACAGAAAGAAACTTAGCTTTCAGCAAAGGGAGAAAAGACATGAGTTCCCTTGAGTGAGAGCTGCAGCATTTCTCACATGGCAGCTCTGAGATAGGAAGAGTCCTTCCTGCAATTCATGTGCAGATTTTAAGTCTTAGCTACAAATGGCCTCTGGCTCTGTGGGGAAACAGAGTCAGGAGGATACAGCAAATTCCCCCATTTTGCTCTTCACGAGGGCTCTCCATGTGCTACAGTTTGCTGTGTCTAATGTTGATTTGGTTATTTGTATGTCCTTAGCTCTGTCTGCATCACTATTGCTTGGCTTGCCTCTTAATTTCCCCAGAGGGGTTATAGTGGCTGTTTCACTCACTCAGTTTCAGTGCCATGCAGAGGATATTACATAAATAAACATGACATTAAATTATGTGTGGGCTGCTACAAAATGTAAAGGGCATTTAGGGATTAAATACTTCTCAGAAGCAAAAATCCACTAACTGCTTTCTGGATGCTTTCTTGTACCCCAAATTAGCCCACTGTTTCTACTGGTTTTTCATTTTTTCAGGTATGTTTGTCTATGCCAGATTACTTTGGTCTGATGAACTTCAGATGTCCGTGTGTGTAGGTGTGTGGGTGTGTAGGTGTTTGGGCGTGTGTGGTGTGTGCATGCGCATGTCTCTCTCTCGACCTTTCAACTCCCCTCTAGAGCACCTTCATCCAGCGTAGACATTATTGATATCTTTCCCCTTTGCTAACTCAAAAAGAGTGTAATAATGCATTCGCTTGAATCTTAAAATGATGATACTGTAAAACCATCTGTGGAAATCTGCAGTTAGCTGCATGTGCATTCACTGTCAGGGACCCCTGATCTGGCAGCAAGCAAGTTCTCCAGTAATTTAAATGGAAGGATCGATTCCTAAAGAGGATTTCACCAGGTTTCAAAACTTTAAAAAATTAATAATTCAATTTTAAAATGACCACAAAATGCCATTGACTTGAAGTCAGTAAAGAGTAAAAACTCAAGCCTGTCTATGATCAGGAAGAGATATTCCATCAGTGTCTAGAAGAAGGCACAGTGAGAGAAAGGGGTCGGAGACTAGTACCATGTCTGACAGATATCAGGGCTTCAATAAATGTTTTTGAAATGAACAGAAAGTGAGGGCATTTCAGTGGTTCTGGCTTGCCTCTAATAATTGTCATACCCATATTAGACAGGATACCAGAAAGGAAAATTTAGCACAGTGATTAGGATTTCATATGTGACGTGAGTTAGACTTTAAATGACTAGCTCCGTAGTTTAACTTACTTCTCTGTGGCGCAATTTCATCATCAGAAAACAATGAGATATTTGACATTTCTTAATTATGATATCTGGCACACACAGTAGACACCAAATAAACGCTAGATGTTAGTTCAGGATTCAGGTGACTTACTGAAAATCACACAATATATACCCTACTATTTGCTACTCAGCAGCCACTCCCCACTTTTTCTTTGCTGGCAAAGCCCACCTCTGATCATAGTAAATGTCAAGTGGAAATACCATTTCCTTGTTTTCTCCGTCTTTATTGCAACCACGATGGGCATGTGGCAGAATCCTGGTTAGTGAGGGTAAAGGGAGTTTGCTGGCACAGCTTCTGGGAAAGAGTTTCTTCCCTAGGTAGAAAACAAAATACAACAAAAACCCGTATATACACCAGGAGCCCTTCTTTACTCTGCTGAATATACCTACCTCTTCAGGTGATGAAAAGAAATGTTATGACCACTTTGCAAATGTGAGGGTAAGTAGCACTGAGTGCTGACCCTGTCAGAGAGGACACATGGACTCTCTTGGGTCCTTGCTGACATTGTCGGGATAAGTTAGTCCTGGAACTGCATAAACTCTGGACTTCCTTCTCTATGACGTAATGAACCACTTACTGCTTGAGTCACTGTCAGCATTCTGTTTCTTGTTGCAAATAGCATTCTAATAGATCTGCTGGCTAATCCAGGACTCAACATCTGGTCTTGGCCAGGTATGGTGGCTCACACCTGTAATCTCAGCACTTTGTGGGGCTGAGGCACGGGGATCACTTGAGGCCAGGACTTAGAGACCAGCCTGGGCAACATATCAAGACCTCATGTCTAAAAAAGTTAAAATATTAGCCAGGAATAGTGTTGTAGTCCCATCTACTCAGGAAGTTGAGGCAGGAGGATCGCTTGAGCTCAGGAGTTTGAGTCTGCAGTGAGCTCTGACTACATCACTGCACTCTAGCCTGGGTGACAGAGTAAGACTCTGCCTCTAAAAAAATAAATACATAAAATTTAAAAATCAAAATCTCATCATCTTCTGGTTCCAAAGCCTTTTCTGTTTTGAGCAGAGCACACTACTAGTCTAATATTTTAGGTTCTCCACAATAGAGCCAAAGCCTACCTCTGGATTCTGATATTGTGTGGGTCCCTACTCATACTCTAACCTTTAGGTAAACCAGAGGAATTGCCCTTTTCTTAATGCTCTCTGAGCATTCTCCCCTAGTTCCTTTCCTTACAGTACCTTTTCTGTACCTTCTCATTTTTATCAGAATCACAAACATCTTCTGGGATTTGTCTTAAATGCATCCTTTGCTGAGAACTGTCGCCTGATTACACCCTTCTTTCTTGCTCCTTGAAAGAAACACAGGCCGGGTGCGGTGGCTCAAACCTGTAATCCCAGCACTTTGGGAGGCCGAGGCAGGTGGATCATGAGGTTGGGAGTTTGAGACCAGCCAGGCCAACATAGTGAAACCCTGTCTCTACTAAAAATACAAAAAATTAGCCAGGTGTGGTGGTGGGTACCTGTAATTCCAGCTACTCAGGAGGCTGAGGCAGGAGAATCACTTGAACTTAGGAGACCGAGGTTGCAGTGAGCCAAGACCATGTCATTGCACTCCAGCCTGGGCGATAAGTGCAAAACTCCATCTCAAAAGAACAAAAAATAAACACTCTCATCCTGCTTCACATCTTTTTTCCTCACATTTTGTAAATATCTAAGTACAGGTCTGTCTTTCCAAAAGACTGAGCTTTTAGGGACTCAAATCTCATTCCTCTTTTTGTATCCTCACAGCATGTATTTTAAAATTTTCATCTTTTAACAAAGCATACTGAATGTTTATTAAATTAAATGTGCAGAATTTTGGAGCTGAAACTTCTTTTCTTCTGAAGAAAGCTTTTATTTTCTGAGAATTATATAAGTTCTTATGTTTGAATGTATGACCCTCCCCCCAGGATTCCAGAGATGGGTAAAATTATTAAGTTATATTTATTGTTTATGTTCATAAATTTTATCAGATCATATTCTTAAAAGATATATGGCTCCCCAAAAGAAATGAGAATCTCTGTTTAAGTTGGAAAGTCAAATACTTACCGAGATAAAGACACACAGTCTGGAACATGTGCATTTTAAGGAAAACTAGTGTTGTGAGTTTACTTCTTTTCCCTAAAATTGGAGCTCAAAGAAAACAAAAACAAATTTCTGGCCATTGAACACACTTCTCTTATTTTATCCAACTCTTTGATTCTCCGGAAAAATTATTCTAAATCTCTTCATGCCCCTTATTATTCTCTTACCTGTATTTGCTTTCATCAAGATCTGTAAATACTCTAACCAAATTGTCTCTAGCAAGCTGCTAAAATAAGCAGAGAGGTGGCTATTTGAGCTTGGACGATGAAAAAAACACCAAGACCTGCTGGAAGATGGTGGGGGCAGGACCAAGGTAGCCAGCATTAGCCCTGCCCAACCCGCTGGCATCTTCAATATAGCTTTTCCCTTGTTCACTCAAGCCAGACTGTGGCCCATCTCAAGCAAGAGCAATTATGGCCATTAGCATGGCTAAGCTCTGTGGAGTCTAGAAGCACCTGCCCATGCCATCCCTGAATCACTAGTAGTTGGGAGGAAGACTAAGGAAATGGTGTTGTTTTGTAGACTAGGACCCAGTCACCATCTACATTATTCAGAATTTGGAAATACAGACCATAAGGAATGAAAATGATTATGGGATCTTTTACCTTAATCCCAAACCCATACTTTTGAGATTAGATACTGCTTCCACAGTGGGACACAGAGAGAGTAAAGAAAAATGCAAATCATTATTAATTGAAGAGTGAAGTGATATGTCCCTATTTTCTAAGATGTCCTTGAGAGGAAGAGCAGTAGCCAGGCTAAGTATCATTACAAATCCAGTGACACCCTCCAACCTTCTGATGCAGAGCAGGTGGACCCCACAGTTGGGGCTTTGCCTGGGAAGGGTTCTTGGCTTCACTCAGGAAAGAATTCAAGAGTGAGCGGGTGGTAGAAGAAAGTGGGTTTATTAAGTGAGTGGGGCTAATCCATAGGCAGTGTACCCAGAATAGCAGTGTACGGTCTGTTTAGTAGCAATATTTATACCCATTTTTAATTACCCATGCAAATTGGGGGGTGGGTTATTTGCAAATCTCCAGAAAAGGAGTGGTAAATTCCACTCCTTTGGAATTTCTCCACTGTCATGGCACTGGTGGGGAGGGTCTCATGCTGAGGAGCAGTGAGGGCAAGTAGAGATTGCTGTTGGCACCATCTGCTAGTTCTGCAGGCTTCTTCATTTCACCCTTCCGGGACCAGGAAATAAGTTCCTCTAGTCTCCTGCCTTACTTCCATCCCACTTCCTGTGGGGTGAATTCTTTAGTAAAGCAAAGGAGGAAGACACTGTGTTTTTGTTTTTAAGAAAAGAAGTAGAAATTCCTATGCCTCTATTTAGAAAAGCTTAGAGAAATTTTGACTCTCTGCAATCTAGTACTTTGTTAATACACAAGTTTTCAAAAGTGTACTGTGTGTAGAACCAGATTACCAGGAAGGTGTTCTCAGGTTCCTTAAATGTTTGAGGTTTCATTTCTAAGTCATATTTTATAATAGAAACAATGCCGTCATAGTCAAAGGTGTTACATGACTGATAACTGGCCTAGTAGAGACTGCCTGTCTTATGCTGCTGGCAGGTTCATTCATTTCGATGCATACCTGTAAATAAGGCTTCTTGCCCTACCATTTGATGCAACAGAATATTTTGCACTGACTTTTGGTAATTTACGGTGGAACACTCTTATTAGTCATCCACATACCAGCATCTGTTTGTGAATGTTTTTGTTCTGTAACCCAGTGCAGAAAGAGATTGGGGCAAGAAGGGAGGAATGAATTGACGTTTTCCTTTCACAGAGTCCTTGGTGATGATTTCTCAACTCCCTGTCCAGAGCGAGTGAGGGCTAGCATTGATGGAATTATTCAGTAAGAGCTTTGGAAGGGCCTACGCAAGGGGGTGATAGTTTGGGAGCCTGGGTTATGAAAATTTGGTTCAGTGCTGTGGGAGAAGAAGCCCTTGCTCAGTCCTTGGAGACCCTCTCCCATTTCTGCACAGAACCTGACCTGGCATTGTTTCTAGCACCCTTCAAGGAATGGGTGATTTGAAAACAGCAGCTTGCTGAGTTTTTATAGAGAGGGCACCAGCATCCTCTCTATAAGTATGGACCAAGTAAAGTTCCTCCCAAAAATGCTGTGAGCAACAGATATGGCAAGAAGGAGTCCCACTGAAAGAAGAAGTGCAGAAGTCATGTGGTGAAAGCAAGTCCTAGACAGGTGACAGGGATATTTGAAACATGTCACCGTGGAAAGTCCCAGAAAGAACTGGATGCTGAGGTCCTGGTACACCATAGGTGGAGGTATCAAGTCTTAGATAATTTGGGTCATAGCTCTTTGAAGATGATATCCTAGGATTTAGAGAGAGACCTCAAAAAGCTAGTACCACATGGTAAACATTTGTTTTGAATCAGGGATGTTTAAATGCTATCTAACAAAAACAAGATACAGAAATAAATGCAATGCTGATGGATATGCCACTTTGTGTGGAGGTATATGTGTTCATATGCATTTTGAGATGTGTATGTGTTCATCAAAACAGCCTTGTTTTTGATTGGACTTATAATTAAATGCTATATGCTTGAACCCAGAGTTTTCTATACATGAAAGTTGTGTGCTGAATGAATAAAAACAAATTATTTGTATATTATTTAAGCACACACAACATTTCACTTAATTAAAAAGTTCCACCAAACGCTGAATATGATGTCCTGAGCCTTACTCCCAGCTACTAGGGAGCTTAAAGTGGGAGAATCCCTTGAGCCCAGGAGTTGAGGCGAGACTGAGCAATGGAGTGAGACCCTCATATCAAAACAAAAACAAAAGCAAACAAAATAGCTCCGTTTTGTTCCATTTTAAGTTTGAAAAACACACAAAGAACAACAGAATAAGACCAGAATACGGAGGCGATTGCATTTTTCACATTTTCTCATTTGAATGTAGTGATTTTTTCTCTGGCTCCCTTCACAGGAACTGATTTGTTAAATAGCATTCCCAGAACACAGAAGCAAACAAAGAACAAAACATAGCTAACATAAGGATGCATCATTGTTCAGGAATACGATGGTAAAGAATGCACATAGGCAGTATAGGGAAAAAAGAAAAATCTCAAATAATCGATTGAAAACATAACTAAAGGTTAGCAGTTCTCCCTTCTTTCTTGCTCTCTTTCTGAAAACAGAAAGATTAAATAGATTGATTCAAGCAGATGTGCTTTCAAATGCCAGAAAGGGCACCTCTTCTGGTGCAGTATTGATAAACTGCCTGAGTGTATCACTGGCATTTCAGTTTTACTAGCCCTGCAAGAAGAGGCAGGGAGCGACTTCTACCTCCCTGCCAGCCTGCCCCGGGATTGCTTAGACAATTTCTGTGTGCGTGTGCGAGTGGCTCCATACCACTACATGCTGGGTTAAAGGCTTCCTCCTCCGGGCTGCCTTTGAATTCCCTCATCAGCTGAATGGGAGACACTGCCTGTGACCAGCTGAACTTCATTATTTAGTTTACTGCGGTATTGTATCAGGAGAGCAACTACCTAGAAATGCTTTATGCCCACACCCCTATTTTCTTGGTGGGGGATTTATAGGCCTATTCGGCAAAATCGTACTGAGGTGGAGCAGCATCACCATCCTGTATCTTCAAACAAACAGCTACCCTGCTGCCACTGATCAGTGTTCCTGGGAGGGCAGTGATTGAAATTTAGCACTGAGAGCCATTTAATTGGCACATGGATCTGTTGAGCATATGCCCCCACCGCAGGCATGCCATCTGATGTGCCTGTAGGGTGCCTCGCACCTCACGCATGCTCACCTTTTGCTAAAGAAGCAAGTTTTGAACAGGACCTAGAAGGAAGGAAGCTGTGCTGTAGTTCAGGAGAGGGGTGGCCTTAGAGGACAGGTACTTGGGGATCTCTGCCTGTTTGTAAGTTACAGTAGTTTTTTCTTCCTTGAACTCAAAACCTAAGGTCAGGGAGTTCCAGTTTGCTTGCTGTGAAATTAAAACGAGTTAGGAACGTGTTCACTTATGCTTGTGCCTTCAGTAAATCAAATGCTGTGCTAGTAGAGTGGAACTTGGAAGGATTCAGCATTCCTCAGCAGCTTGCAACCCTGGAATTTGAGGTTAGAATGTGCTCTGCTCACTGTAGCTAGAACTGATCACTTGGCCTTCAGAGAAGGATCCAGGAAATCAATGTCAACATTTTTCTGCTGAGTTGGAAACAGCTGGGCTGGGCCAAATGTTCTAGGTTATGAGTACCAGGAGTAAAATATGAACTTTGACAGAAAACTGAGCAAACTCATTATGTTTTTCCCTTACATAAGAAGAGCAAGGAAAAGGTGGAGAAATCAGTGGTTAGGAATCCACTGCTTTGTGGAATCTTCCCAAGTGTCCTTGGGCTCCTGTATTTCTTTTCTTATTTTTCTTTTTTTTGGAATGGAGTCTCACTGTTGCCGAGGCTGAAGTGCAGTGGTGTGATCCCAGTTCACTGCAGCCTCTGCCTCCTGGATTCAAGCAATTCTCCAGTCTCAGTCTTCCCAGTCGCTGGAACGACAGGTGCACGCTGCCATGCCTGGCCAATTTTTTTTTTTAATTTTTTTTTTTTTTTTTTTAGTAGATACTGGGTTTCACTATGTTCCCCAGTCTGGTCTCAAACTCATGAGCTCAGGCAATCTGCCCACGTTGGCCTCCCAAAGTGCTGGGATTACAGGTGTGAGCCACCGTTGACTCTGTTCATTGCTGCAGACTCCAAAAGAAGCTGTCTTCTGGAGCAGCTGTAATGGGAAGGGTTTTTATGTGACTGAGAAAGGGTGTAGAGCTCTTTATCAACTTCCCTTTTCTTTGATGAGTCCTGTCCCAACCGGATCATGGACTCATAGACTGAATCTGTATTTCTTTATGTTCTCTTCTGGCATCAGGCAAAATCCTGGGGTTTAATAAATGTTTGTTGAATTCTGAAAGGATGAAATAAATAGTTTAGGCTCTTCTGGGTAAAGTTGAAAATAGTGCTGCTTTCAATTTCAGAGGAGGATTTACTATGAAGCGAATATAGCTTAAATTTAGCATTCCACAATTCTACAGCTGCTTTCCTGAGACCTGTTCCTAATTTTTGATTTTATGGAGGGTTCTGTAAAAAACAGAATACACGGTAATTATCGGGACCCTATGAAACCTAGATTTACTCCTGTTAAAATGCTATTGGTTAGTCCTGCCAATGTGGCTTCTGTTAATGGCTTTCCTAGAAATTGGAAGTCAGAAGAAAGTTAAAACGAAGCTCACATAGGGCAAAGGGAAGGAACTAACATTGAAGAACCCCATGCTAATTGATACGTAATTTGTATTTATTTCCTAATTTAACTTCAAACAGCAATTCTTTCTGGGAGAGAGCATTACTCATCATCCCCCTTAATAAATGAGCATACTGACATTCTTTCAAAGAATTATCTGCATTAATAGCATTAAATGTTGATTCTATTTCCCAAAAAGAAATACTATTTTTTATCTGGGTGCGGTGGCTCACGCCTGTTAATCCTGGCACTTTGGGAGGCTGAGGCAGGTGGATCACGAGGTCAAGAGGTTGAGATCATCCTGGCCAGCATGGTGAAACCCCGTGTCTACTAAAATACAAAAAATTAGCCAGGCTTGGTGGTGTATGCCTGTAGTCCCAGCTACTCCGTAGGCTGAGGAAGGGCAATTGAACCCTGTGGGGGCAGGTGTTGGCGGGGGGGAGAAAGAAATACTGTTTCCCAAAAAGAATCCAAAGAATTTTTTGAAAGAATGTTAGTATTTCTGTCTTTCAAAGAAACGATTAAGAGTAACGCTATCTCCCAGGGCTGGGCACGGTGGCTCACGCCTGTAATCCCAGCACTTTGGGAGGCTGAGGCGGGTGGATCACGAGGTCAAGAGATCGAGACCATCCTGGTCAACATGGTGAAACCCCGTCTCTACTAAAAATACAAAAAATTAGCTGGGAATGGTGGTGCGTGCCTGTAATCCCAGCTACTCGGGAGGCTGAGGCAGGAGAATTGCCTGAACCCAGGAGGCAGAGGTTGCAGTGAGCCGAGATTGCGCCATTGCACTCCAGCCTGAGTAAGAAGAGTGAAACTCCAACTCAAAGAAAAAAAAAGAGTAATGCTATCTCCCCCACCCCCCAAAAAAACAGTAGTTGGGTACATTGGGTAACCTGCTCAATGCACCCAGCTACTAGGACTGGAAACAAATCATTGACCTTCCTCTCTCCCAGGCATCTGCTCAGTGAGTACCTGAGTGGTATGTGTATTTGGCAGCTCTTCCAGCCTTCCCTAAAACGGTTAAACTCACTAGGGAAAGAAATGCCTGGAGGGGCAGGTAACCCTTGCTGCAGGGTGACAGGGAGAAAGGTGGGGAGAGAACAGACCTAAGCAGTTCAGTGAAAGGCAGAAAGGCACACCAACCCTTTCCTAGTCAGTGCAGCAAATGCTGTAACAATTCATTCAATTACGTTAAGCGCCCATTAAAGGAATCCTAAGCCCTCCCTTGGGCCATTTCAGTTCTAAGAGATTGTAATTGTTTGAGACTAACCATGATTTCTTCTTTTGCCTTCAGGTGATTCTCATTTTGACAAAGCTCTATGACTATAACCTGGGGAGCATCACCGAGAGCTCGCTTTGGAGGTATGTAGATAAATGGAGCTAATAATTACCTGTTATTTAATCATGATGCCTCCTACTGCTCTCCCTCCCACTTTTTCCTGATAGGAAGGTTCCTGGTATTATGCACTCCTTATTTTCTCTCTTCTGTTTCCTTTAGGGATGCATTGGGCTTTATCTCCGGGCAGGCCAGAGCTTTACCTTCTTTATAGACCCCTCCTTTTAGCCAGCCAGATTCGTTTGCTAACCTGTACAATAGGTTGTGTATGAGTTTTGGTTTCCACCTTCTCACTGACCTGTGAGTTTAATGGAGCAAAAGTGAGAGTGGAAGTCTCTTTGCAGAAGGGATCAGCACACCTTCTGGGTCTGCAGGATGAGGCTCATTACCAGGGCAACATTGTTTTACTAACTTCCCTTCCGTGGTGGTCCTGCAGCTCACCAGCAGCACAGGCATGCATACCCACACTCATGTACACCCTTATCTTTGGGATTCATACTTTATGACTTCACACTTAGAGAGTGTGGTAATGATACAACATTGTTTTTTCAGCACCTCTTTGCCATCTAGAGGCCTCCACAGCTGGCAGTACCTCTGCTCAAGTTTTGCTTGTGTCCTCTGACCTTGCTCTGCCCTCTTGGTCCATCAGGCTGCACTCAGCTCACACGAATAGTCTATAAATCATGCCCCCCAAGGGCAAGCCAGGCGTACCAGCTGCTATGGTGGGGTGGTCAGCTCCAGGCACTGGCTCTGTGCAAGGCTGTGGCTGAACCCCTCGTACAGCCAGGGGCTTCCACCTTGGGCGCTGGTGTCTGGATGAGGGGAATGCGGTGGTGCTCTTAAACTCAGAAACACCAGCAACCAGGGAACCCCAAAGGGGGTGTTACAGCATGGCACAGCCCTGGCTTGGGGAGCCCTGAGGTCTGGACCCCCCAGAAGGGTCACAGCTCTTCTCTCCTTCCCAGCACCCACAGAGCAGTAAATGGAGTGGGGGTGGGTTTCAGTTCATACAAGTTATAGCTCGTTCAGTCCCACTGCTCTGCTCCAGCCTGTGGCTCGTAGGCTGGCCTGGCCCTACTGCCATTTCCTATGGTGTGGGGCAGCTGCCTGGTGCCAGCAGAAGACAGGAAGGCTATAGTGTTACAGCTCCTTTCTCACTTGCTGTTCAGTGGGTCTTGGGTGCTTGTCCTGCATCCAAGAAGAATGAGGTTATATGGACAACTGGAGAGTGATCAAGGCAGAGACATTTTATTGAGTGACAAAACAGCTCTCAGTGGAGAGGGGACCCAGTGGTAGTCCCAACCAGAAAGCGGGTAGACCCAGTGTGTCGCTGAGGCTGAGATTTTTATAGGCTCTAAATGGGGAAAGCCATAGGTAGAAAGAACAAATACATATTAGGTTTATGAGGAGTTTCCCATCCATGATTATAGACCCTTGGTAGCCCAGCTGCCCAGTCATGCTGGTATTCAAGGAGCTCCTCTATGCTAAGGGATTTGTACCTATTCATTTGAAAAATTATTAATTGTGATAGTGGTAGACAACAGACAAATTCCTAGGCAGATGGAGGCAAGTCTCTGGTGAAACCCAACCCTCAAGCCACAAGACAGCCTGAAGTCTGAAAACCAACCTGCCAGATCTGGATGAAGTCCTAGTTACAGGGATGTAACTGAAAGTGTGGGAAGCTTGGTAGGGGCCTTAATGAAAGCATAATTTTTTAGTGCATTAAAGAGCCAGCACCTACCATATTGCTTCAATTCTGTAACCCTTCATCAGAATCTCTGTGACTCTGAGCAACTTCATACTCCCCTGATAGATTTCTCTAATGGAAATCTATCTCCATGTGTAACATTAAAAGCCAGCTTTTTTACCTGCTGTGGATCTGTCTTATAAAGTGTAACCTACATATTAGAAATTTAACAGATAATGCAGTTATATCTCAGTGGGACAGAGGCTTTCAGCAACCACAGCTCTCTACCCGCACAGTGGTAAGAGCATGCTTGAGGGGCCTGAGGAGCAGGTTGCCTTAGATTGTGGAAGCTCATGTTCAGTATGTTTTTCTCTCCATGATGGGGCATTGCTATTGATGGCCCAGTCTAGGAAAAATGTCCTTTTCAAACTTAATGGAAAGGGGTAATTTAAAAAACAGTGGCTGGGCAGGGTGGTTCACACCTGTAACCTCAGAACTTTGGGAGGCTAAGGCGGGCAGATAGTGAGGTCAGGAGTTGGAGACCAGCCTGGCCAGCAGAGTGAAATCCAGTCTCTATTAAAAATACAAAAAAAATTACTTGGGCATAGTGGTGCATGCCTGTAATCCCAGCCACTCAGGAGGCTGAGGCAGGAGAATTACTTGAACCTGGGTGGTGGAGGTTGCAGTGATCTGAGTTTGTGCCACTGCACTCCAGCCCATGTGACAGTGAGAGACTCCATATCAAAAAACAAAACAAAACAAAACAAAAAAAACAAAACAAAAAGCATCACATTTCATTAGTATCAGGCTTCCCTTCTGAAGGCACAGTCTACTTGGGTGAAGTCTTGGAAACTGTGGCCAGAATGACCTGCACGCTTCTCAATGTTAAGATCAGTTTCACTGCAGGATGTATACTGTCATACACTGCATAATGACATTTTAGTCAATGACAGCTTACACAATAGTGGTCCCATAAAATTATACTGTGTTGTTCCTGTACCTCTTTTATGTTTAGATAAGTTTAGGTACACAAGTATCATGATGTTATAATTGCCCGACAGGATTCAGCACAGTAACATCCTGTACAGATTTGCAGCCTTGAAACAAGAGGGTATACCTTACAGCCTAGATATTTAGATGCTATACCTTCTTGGTTGGTGTAACTACACTCCATGATCTTCACACAATGAGAAACTCACCTAAGGTCATGTTTCTCAGAATGTATCCCCCTCATTAAGTGATACATGACTGTACCTATATAAATAGTCAGCCTTCCCTGTCTATGGGTTTTACATCTGAATTCAACCCATCTTGGATCAAATCTGTTGGGGGGAAAAAGTTAAAAATAACAACACGGTCATGAATACAAGTAAAAACTACAGTACAACAACTATTTACATAATATTTATATTGTATGTGGTGTTACATGTAATCTAGAAATGATTTTAAATATACTAGGGAGGGCTGGGCGTGGTGGCTCACGCCTGTAATCTCAGCACTTTGGGAGGCCAAGGTGGGTGGATCACGAGGTCAAGATATCAAGACCATCCTGGCCACCATGGTGAAACCCCGTCTCTACTAAAAAAAATACAAAAATTAGCTGAGCATGGTGGTGTGCACCTCTAGTCCCAGGTACTCAGGAGGCTGAGGCAGGAGAATTGCTTGAACCCGGGAGGCATAGGTTGCAGTGAGCCAAGATCACACCACTGCACTTCAGCCTGGTGCCTGGTGACAGAGCAAGACTCTGTCTGAAAAAAAAAAAAACACACACACACACACACACACACACACACACACACACACTAGGGAGAAGGTCAGTAAGTCATACACAAATAGTACACCATCTTCTATCAGAAATTTGAGCATCTGTGGATTTTAGCATTCATGGGTGGTTCTGGAAACAATCCCCTCCGGATACTGAGAGATAACCATGTACACACACACACACACAGACACACACACACACACAAACACACACACACACACACACACACGCAGTACCCATAGATACATAGTATACTTTTAAAATGTACCCAAAATAGTTATTTAACATATGTCACATGCTGGGATGACTACTGGAAGTATGTGATATGTTAAAAACTGCTCATTTTATTTATTTATTTTAAATTATTATTTGAGATGGCATCTTACTCAGTCACCCAGGCTGGAGCACAGTGGCATGATCAGAGATTACTACAGCCTCAAACTCCCAGATGAGAATGATCCTCCCACCTCAGCAGGGACTACAAATATTTGCCACTACCCTAGGCTAATTTTTTTAAATTATTTTTTGTAGAGACAGAGTCCCACTTTGTTGCTCAGACTGGTCCTAGGTTTAAGCAACCCTCCCACCTCAGCCTCACAAGCTTTTGAGATTATAGGCATGAGCCACTACGCCTGGTCATTTTAGTAGTTTAACACAAATGGCATGTACCTTATACAAAATGTAATGTGGAAAAGAGAGAATAAGGGGGAAATTATGTCTAAGACTTCATATTATAGCATCATATATGATACTTCATATATAATACCTCGGTAGGACTTTTGAACAGCTCACAGTACCCATACTCAGTGTTTAGGGAACCTCCATAGATATGCTAATAAGAAGAGGAGTGGGAGAGGCCTGGATGGGTGGAGGATAGGGGTCAGCAAGAGAAAGCCTCATGGTTCTGAGTTCTCTGGCGAAGCCTTGCTTGAGGGAAACTAGATGGTCTAGCACAAACTGACTTTGTCCTGCACTGGCTCATACTGTTACCAAAACACCAGGGACCCAGTGTCTGACCCAGGGTCAGACCTGCTACTCACTGCACAGAAAGCCAATCACCAAGACAACAATTATTGCCAAGGAAGAAGGCTTTAACCAGGTGCTGGAGCTGAGGAGATGGGAGATCGGTGTCAAATCCATCTCCCTGACTCACTAAAGTTAGGTAGGGGTTTAATATAGCAGGGAAGAAATATGACAATGTGTTGGAAAACAGGAACTAGGGAAGGGTATGGAAACAAAATGAGGGGTCTGGCATCTAAGCTGGTGAATTTTAGTTCTTTAATACTTTTTGAGAGATTTCCAGGTCTTTTCCTGGGGAATGAACTCAGATGAAACAAATGTTATGTTTCAAGCTTTAAGACAGGAAGGGTCAGTTCCTATGTTTATCCAAAGAAATGTCTATAGGACTATTGAGGTGGTTTCAATACTTTATGCTCAGAAAACCTGCCTATGCCAAAAATTGGGGACTGTGACTTCAGACAAGTCTTGGACATCTGCAGGGTACCCATGGCCCTGAGTTTGGGACTTAGCATATAGCTAGTGCTCAGTAACTCTATTTTCAAACAGCAGTGAAC